TGGACAGTTCGGGGTTACTCAACCCTGAGTATCGTTTTTCACTCTGAGTTTTCTAAACCGGCTTCCTGAAATAGGGCCCTGATGTACTAAATAGAGGACATTCTGGGCTTTTTATTGATATCTCATGTGTTTGGGTGGCCTCTAAGAGGAAGGAAATATACACGATCGCTGAATAGCAGCCAACTTCCTGTTAATCAGCTTGAATTTAAAAAATCAGATATCAGCTACCTACACGCTGCACTGTTTTTAGATACAATGCAATACTATGCAAACTAAACTATGAATACTCTAAGTTGTTTTATTATGTATGTTGCATTCTTGTACAGCACTTTGGTCAACGCTTCTGTTGTAATTAAATGTGCTATATAAATAATTAAACTATTAAACTATTAAAGAGCCACACTTTGTACATATTTGTACATCCTTTAAGGAGTACATTATACTAAGTAGGTAACTGCAATACCAATGATATTAAAAGATTAAAATCATAGTACCTCGCTTATGAAAGTGAGTGGTCCCATCTGGTCCAGTTAAAGTAATGATCCTACATCAGTCTGATTTATATAAAGGCTGCTGATGGCCAATCACAGCGTGGCACGTAGACTTCTGCTCAGGTTTTGTCTCATTTTCGCCCTTATTCTGTTAGAAACGAAACCGAAATAAACAAAAACAGCCACATTCTTCAAATGTTCTGAGTGAAACGAAACTTTCAGAGCATCTCGTGAAACTCATTCAGTGCTTCCCAGTGAGGACAGTTGTCCCGCCGCTCGCTAGATGATGCTGCAGCCCGTTTTTATCAGAAAACGGGCTGCAGCATCATCTCAAAGGAAAACGATAAAATGTAGACGACAGTGTTCCGCCGTTATTTAACTCTGGTTAATATGGTGTTTTTACCGCGTTCGCACGAAAAGTACTTACATTCAAGCACATTGCTTAGGAAGGATGAGAACGGTATGTGAAAATTGTTGTTTGTGTGCTGCTTGCGTCCTCAAATATCTTCCGTATTGTTTAAAACCAACCACGGCCTACAATAGTTGGTAGGCTGCTAAGTAAGCTAGTGAACATACTTGTTATATTCGCACAGGTCTTGTTGTCGCCTATTTGGCCGACAAGGAGCGCTAATGCGATCATAACCTATACAATATGCCCAAAAACCGATGAAGGATATGCGGCTTATATTTCACCTGAAACAGCGATAAAACTGTTTGGTCAGTAAGCAGGGGGGCATCGATTAAACAGTGCGTTTCCCCCACAAAAAATAACAATAATTATGTCATGTTTCTCTCTCAGATGCTCCCATCATCTGTAGGACCGTGAAAACCCCTCCCCTGCTGCTGTGGGCGTAGATGGCACCATGCTGGATAACACCGGTGATCAAGTGGAGCAGCAGTCTGGGCGCTGCTCAGACTGTGGGTGCAGTTTTAATCTTTCACATCCTGACTCTGAGCCTGATTCCGATGACACTCCAGCCGATCCTAAACAGCAAAATAAAACAGACAGTTCTTCCAAATGCCCATCCTGCCAGGCAGGCAGCAGCCCCCAGAATGGACGCCGCCCACACCGGCGCATCCGCCTGGACCCTCACAGCTGCAGCCTGTGCTCCAAAACCTTCATCTCTTCCGCTCACCTGACCCTTCACCTTGCTTCTCACAATAAGGAAAGGAAGTTCAAATGTAACACCTGTGGCAAGTTCTTCCATCAGTCCTCCCACCTAATGGCACACAAGATAATCCACAGCGGAGACAGGCCGTTTAAATGCCCAGATTGTGGTAAGACCTTTGGGCGCGCTTCACACCTGAAGACCCACCGTCGACTCCACACAGGCGAAAAACCTTTTAAATGCACTTACTGTGACAAGTCCTTCACCCAGAAGGCTGGGCTACTGGCACACGTTCGTCTGCACACCGGGGAGAGACCATACAAGTGCGAGCAGTGTGGCGAGGGCTTTCGCTCTTTGTCACTGCTGCTCTCTCACAAGGCTCAAGAGGCTTCCGGACAGGCCAAGTCACTGTCTCCACCACCGCTCAGCCAGCCTCAGAAAACACAAACCAACGGCGAAGATCTGAAATGCGGCGTCTGCTGTCGCACTTTTGTCAGGTCATCTTATATCAGGCTGCACATTCGCCTCAACAAAGGACAGCGACCTTATCACTGCAAAGTGTGCAACAAGACTTTTGTCAAACTGGAAACATTTGTGAACCACTGTGACAAACACCTGAGACAGAAAAAGGATAAAAATAAGGGGGTGGAAAACAAAGTCGTCAAACCTCCCCTGTTTGTTCCGCTCTCCAGGCCTTCTTCTCCTGAGTCCTTACCTGCTCAGCAGCTATCCCAGGAGGTCAACACACGCTCCAGAGCAAAAGCAAAGATTAAAACAGAGCCATAGCCAGAAGGAGAGCGTCAGCTGAGACAGAGATGGTGGCAGTAGTGTAATGTTGGTGTTTTAAAAGGTTAAATGTTTACAGATGATGGTAAGAAAGGGACAAACACCAGATTGATAGTTGAAACAGTTTCAATTTTTATTTAATTTATATCAATGTGAGTTCACTAATTGTTATTTTAAGATTTCCATTGTGAGCAGTTATCTTTAAGCACTATAATATTTTTATTGAGGTATCTTTTAGGCTAATGTTTGTAACATTTCAGAGGCGTACATTGTTCTGATCTTACAATGTTAAAATGAAAAAAAGGTCATATCTTAAACCATTGTAATTTATGGTTTTCATTAATCTGTTCTTCTAAATGCATAAAAGCCTAGTGGCATGTATGTACAAACAATAAAAAATGTAAGTTAAATGCTTATTGTAAAACAATATGCCATTTGATGAAAAGTAACCTAGTGTGACTCAACCTTGTCTTTTTTTTGCACCTCAGTAAACAAAAAAAACAACTGATGTTCCAGCTGTGCGACACAGCGCTGCTTTATGTAAAGTTCTTTTGCCCTTCAATAAAAATGAGCAGTAAACGTGCTCTTAGGGTGGTGTGATTGCAGCAATCGGGCTCATCACTATGATAGCAGGCATTCCTCTGGCACATTCATTGCAACATGTGAGCAACACACCAGTCCGCTTCAGCAGCAGTCTCACAGCCGAACAGTTTAATTTTATTAGACTGTTTTTCTATTTTAGATCTCCACCGGTGATGAGCGAATATGTGTCACCTCCACATGGGGAAACTCTTTGTTCCAGCCTAAGGACAGAGGGGAGGGGGAAACAGCAAGTGAACAACTTTATGGGCAGGGTTAAGTTAGGAGATTGTGCAACAACAATGCAAAAGACAAACAAAAGACCCTTCCAAAGAACACTCATATAAAAAGTAATAAAGAAACCTTCCAATTCCTTATAATCAATACATATCTCAGATAAAGTGCATATAGTAAATGAAGATGTTTGCCTGGGAGTTGTCTGGATTGTCTGTGCTCCCTTTAATGGTCCAGTGCAGGGTAACGGTCATGTGGCGCCTCCAGACAGGATTTCTCTGGAGGACAATGGTTCCACTGATCGAGTCTCCTGCGCATACACTTACTGGCCTGTCTAGCATGAACAATGTCTGCTTCCAGTGTGTTGGCCTGTAGGGAAAAGGGACTAGTTAGTATGAAATCATATTTAACTATTTACGCATCAGATTTTTTTTGTGCTTTTCATGTTTTCACCCAGAGTTGGGGCCAGTGTTTAGCTCCACAGTTGCGCCTCCTGCCTCCAGGCTCTCGAAGCAAACAGTGAACCAGGCGGTGAATCCATGGAAAACTCCAGACTTCTCCACACAAAAATGAAACTGACCCTTCATTTCCTGAGAAACGAAACAGTCAAGCATTAGTAACAAAATCCAAGTTGGCTCATTTATAACTTTCTCATAAAAAAAAAAAAAAAATGACCTCGAGGTCTCCCACTTGTAAAGTGTACATGTCGAAGGAGATGACATCACAAGGAGCAGCGAGGCAGTCACATGGTTCAATGATGTGGCTGAACTTGGGCTTGGTGAAGAACTCCTGCTGTGCCAAAGGCCTCCAGAAACAAAAGTATTTAGCACAAGGGTAAAATGAATTATCAGTGTACTCGTAAATTATTCTAACCTTATATATTTCTAGCCAATATGTGATGAACTCTGATATATAAAAATGTTAAATGCAGGAGCATCTTAACCTCCAAGTGCATTGTATTTAGTCAGCTAAACAAAATATTATTGTAAATACTGATGAACAAAAAACAAGTCCCCAGATGAAAAAGTTTCACGTTAGAGTTCAATTGCAACATTAAAGATAAGTCAGTTATCCCTATTTCTGTACTGTAAAGCGCTATATAAGTAAACCTTATTTACTTGTTACAGAAATTTGTGGTAAAAAACCTGGCTACGTTACATTGTAATTGTAATTTACATGCATAAAACTGATGTTGCCAAATTTTGAGTTATTATTTCAAAATTACAACTTACAAGATAGTAACCTGAAAATCTGACATATCACTTTTCAGGACACAAGCTTTCATAGTTTGGTCCTAATACTGCCAGGTTTTGTTTTTTTTACACTAGTGGAAATGTAGTAATGGGAACACACATTAAAAGAGTGATCACTTACATTTTGGGGCTATTTATCACCAACCTATCAATATTCAATCAATAAAAGTAATTTCACTTTGTGCTGGTGACAAACTACAGCAATTCCTACGTTTAATTGATCGGGCAGCGGGACAGAACAAGAGCTGAAACTGACTCTTCATTTCCTGAGAAGTTTAAAGTTCTAGAGCTCTAACGTGCTGCTGACATGGTAGAAACAGCAACACAGACAGCTCACTGAGCAGTAATACAGAAATATATTTATTGTACTGCTCTGTGTGCTTGTGATGATCAAATCACCAGAGTAGAGTTTTTGAAGAAATAATCTCATATTATTTGCAGCTCCAGTGCTGCATTTTGCTCTCATCGTTTTATAATCTTTACATATTGAGGTTAGATGCTCTTATATTGTTGATATTGTCCCTGATTGCACCATGCTGTCCACAGCTGATTTTGTGTGGAAAAAGAATGATGTGTAAAAGACTTTTTGTGTGAACGTGCACAGAGCCTGAAGCAGAAAGACTGGCTGTTGATAGCACAGCATCATGAAGCCTCTTATCTCAGACTGGGGTTTTAGTTTCTATCAAGCCAGCTAAATCAAGAAAGCCTGGATGTGTTGAACTTGCTTTGCAATATAAGTGTTTAAGGCAACGCATGAACTGGCACAAGGCCGTCTCTCAGATATGAATCAGAGAGGATGATTCATTCAAAGCTGGCCATCTAGTGGTAAAACAGATTTTAACACAAGCACATAAAGTAAGAAATCAGCCATTACTGGACTTAATAAACACACACACACACACACACACACACACACACACACACACACACACACACACACACACACACACACACACACACACATCTATATCTATATATCTATATATCTAGATAGATAGATAGATACACACAGATACACACAGACACATACATACATATACACACACACAAACACACGCATATCTGTAAGTGACAGGACATTCCTCACTGTCAACTGTGAACTAATGGCTCTTACTGAAGAGGAGTGAAGTCGAGGCCATATGGCCGCTCCCAGAAGGCCATTTTCTCGGCATAATAGCTGTCGGCCTGACATGGCACAAAGGTGAGGGCCGCAGAGGAGGGCCACATTGTGCCACCATTTCTAAGCCAGCGGTCCCTGGCCAGCAGAACTGACTCCACCATGAACTCAAACTAGAGCACGGGGAAAAGGCAAAAAAACCAACAATGAAAGAAGCAATGTGGTATAGTAAAACCTGAACATGGGTAAGAGCAGAAAAGGATGTCCCACAACAATGTATTTTTTTTTAAAGTAGCAGGACAGGAAGTGTTATAATTACCAGAAGGCAGTTACCCATCCACTCAGAAACCAGGACGTCCACCTGCTCAGGCAGCTCGATCTCCTCAGCCCGCCCCTGAAGCACTGTGACCACCTCATCATAGCCGTTCTGCTTCACCAGCTGCCTGGTGTACTCTGCCATTGAGCTCGCCTCCACAGCATACACCTACAACACCACAGATAATCTCCTTCCGTGCACTCTATACATCATGCTGTTTCCTCAATGCAGCAACAGTCTTTGTCCAGCAGATGGAAGTAGAAGTACACCAATGTTCAATACCTAACTGGTGATTTTGCTCCTCTAAGTAACCACATGAAAGATTTTACTTTTGGACCCTTAGATTCTAATTTGTTTTTGTTATTTGGCAGGAAACTTAAACTTAACTCACAATATATGCAGATTTTTCCTCATTATTTAAAAATGAATGCAATCTCATTTCATTTCAATCTGATTTCATTTCTCCTTATAACACAAAATCCAAGATTCAACATTACCATTGAGGGGCGTGCCAACTGAGCGCAGAACAGACTGATGATGCCAGTCCCACAGCCGAGGTCCATTACCCTCTTGCTGCTGAGAGAAGCACTGTTGCTGAGAATAACCTGCCGGTATGCCTCAGTGCGGCTCTTGTCTGACAGCATCTCCAGGTGAAGCCTCTGTGTCGTGAAACATGACTAAATGAAACACAGTGCCTAAAAAAAATGTATGTACAGCAAACTGACAGGTAGCCACTGGCAGTTTATTTAATGCTCAAAAGTTAGACATTTTTTTAACTATAATAAAATACTGATCAAAGCAGTGATCAGTCGCATAACTGTGCCCCTGTTAAACCTAACTCTTTATAATGAAAAGTGGCTTCATGATATAAAACGTTAATTTCTAAATGGCAATATGAAATAAAATCAGACATATAAAATTTGCTTGAATTAAACAAGAGTTTTTGATAATTAATCGACTGATAAATAAACGACTCCAAATGGGATCCAAATAAATTCCCAAAACACAGCAGGGTCTAGTTACATGCTTTCCCCCCCTTGTTTATCAGGGGTAATGCATTCAAGAAAAGGCTTACATGTGTATATTTGGAAATCAGGGTCTAAAAGCAATCTTTTATCTATTCTGAGCATGGTTTCCCAGCATCTCAGTAGTAAATATATCACTGGAAACTCTGAATCATGCACCACTGAGGACCATCATCTTAAACCAGCACAGCTACATTGCAGGGTAGTGTCGACAAAAGACGATGCTTACTTAAAGTCTTTAGTCGTTGCATGCTGGTGATTACCTATAGTTACAATGTAAGACGCATGGCTGCTTAACGCGCTGGGAAACAGTTTATACTCGCATATTATGATTCAAATCATCATTATCTTCAAGTTCATGATAATAATCTGGACATATGCAAAGCAATACACTTCTTTAAAATGTCCAACCAGCGTTCCATAATTGCCAAAGTATTCTTCATCTTGCCACGGGTCTTCTATTGAGGGGTCCTCCTCCTCCTCCCCTGCAGCATCCTGGCTCATGTAGCTGGCAGGGACATAACCTATGACCCCCTGCAGCTCTGCCCACCACCACTCTGAGGAGGGCTTGGCGTGCACGAGCAGTCTGTCCCCTCTGCTGAAACTAAGCTGTGAGACCAAAAAAAAAGTCACACGGTTATTGCTGATACCCCCACCTCCCATTTTAAAGCTAGGATCTCGGAGGTCTGCGGGTCTCTCTGACCTGATCGGTGCTACTTCCAGTGAAATCTGACCGGGCAACGTACTCCTCACAGGACGCCTCATCCTCATCCTCCGTCTGCATATTTGCTTTTGACACTTTCGCTGGTTGTTTTTCTCTAACAAACAAGCCAAACAATTTCACGTGCAGAGCAACAAAAAAAAAAACTACAAAAAACCCCCCACTGTGTGTTTAGAGTGAATCGAGCGGCGAAACTCCTACTTTCAGCTACAGCGCGCACCGCAAACACTTCCTGTTTCGACGTAAGGTTGCGTTATCAAGCCTTCACGTGCTGTCGGAAGTTTCGAAACTGTAAGTTCATCTCAAACGAAATAACACGACATTTAACCCTATCAGAAAACGTTTACTGCATTGTGCACCAAATATTATTAAGCTTCATTATGAGATACGTTGGTCTTCATATTCGGTTTGTTTCACAGTTGCATTTTCGTCTTTCTTCTGGTGTCATATTCACTTCTATTTCCAAATGGCCTCTATGTTAATATCATGTTAAGTACTGGCCGACATGAAGCTTGTGTAAAGCGACCCTTCACTGAAAGTTTCCTGAAAGACCAAAGAACAGAATTTCATGATTTACCTTGACAAAATGTTTGACTTAAAAGAAAATGACTTCAGGGTATAAAAAATGTATTTTTGATCTGCACGCTTTTCCCGTTGCCTCAAATTTAAACGTTAGGTTCTTGATTAAAAATAACCCTGAACCATTCATGCAAATACATTAAAAAAATTGCAAGAAGATAAAACAGATTTAATATACTGCTGGACATCTCAAAGAATTTTAGATATCCTTCCATCCACTTTCTCAAAAACTTAGATCATAAAAGCTATAAAAAGGAAAGCATCCCGGACAAGTCGCCAGTTTATCCATACCTCTATATCAGACTTTACATTTTGTTTGCTTTATTTATTCCTTTTTTCAATGAGTTTTTTTTTTTAAAGCACTAGTTTTTTTCTAGTGCACTTTCTGCAGAGCTTCAAGAAAAATCATTGTTGTCTTGTGTGTCTGCCATGAAATATTAAGATATTATACAGTTAAAAATAAAATAATGTAAAAACCAAAATATAACAAAAATATTTATTAACGAATTATACAATAACACGCACACACACAGAAATAAAAAAACCCCAAACAAAATACATAAGTTTGAAGCTCAAACAGTTCACAACTTAAATTCCTAAAACACATCCACTGATTCCAGCGAGGAAGAAGGTACATTTTAAACATGGGCCACTTCAAACTAACCAGTTCATGTCAAGAATCCACAAAAGAAAAGCCATGGCATGAAGTTTGAGGTCTAGTTGAGTTTGTATGGGATAAACATGTTTCTCCCATAACTCTGTAAATCGATAGACTTTGTAGTATTCAGTCCTCCTGAGTGTTTTAGTTTGATGTTCAACATGACGATCAAACACGTAGAACTGTTTTCAGAAGCATATCACATTCTTGGTAAAAAAAAAAAGTCTCAGCTGTCTTTTGTCTTTGCCTTGAGAAAGGGCTTATGGAGGACGTCAAAGAGTCGTCTTGCCTGTAAACACAAAATGTCAACATGTTAAGTCATCAAACACTTCATCTACGCCGTGTATATTTATACTCAGCACATGTGTTTTCCTCACTTTTTGTGGTCCAAGTCCTGGGCAGACAACCAAATCTTCCTTAGAGGCACTGACGATTCCTTCTACAGACTGAAGAATACATGATGTCTGTTTATTGATTGGATCATATCCACTGACAACATGACTGAACTACAATTACACACTCGCAGTTGTTCATGAACCAAGCAAGTTGCACATCTCCCTTTAGGCTTTGCAGACTCTTGTGGTATATATAGTGAGTCTTTAAAGAAATTTAATAAACATGATTAATTAATACTTGAAGTGAAAATTGTGAAAAATGAGGCACTCACAGAGAACGCAGACAGCAAAGTAATGGCATCAGTTTTGTTGATAGACTTCACAGTTGTCAGGCAATCTGTAACCTTGAAGTAAGCAGAGATCCAATCAGCATTTTCAGTGTTCATGGTCTTAAAGCTACTGCAACATTTTGGCAAATACTGTACATTCCCATGTTATCATATCTTCCATGACATTTCTATAACATCTATTTCTTTTATTAAATGGGCACAAGTAGGTGAAAAGACAAAAAAAAGCACCAAGAGCTCACATAGAAAACAGTGACTCTACACACACCTTTGACAGGTAGTCTTTCTCGACTTGCTCCTTCAGCATGTCAGCTGGCTTCTTTTCATACGACTTATACGTTTCCAGGTAGCGGCCTGCCTCTTCTGGACTGGCAGTTCAAAATGAAAACGACAGAAAACAACAAAACACGTTTAAAAAGACAAGAAGTGTTTGACTTTGTCTTTGAGCTATAGTTTTTAGATGTTGGAGCCAGAATCACACTGATTATTTATTTTATATATGTGTCTTGTAGCAAGCTGCTTACCTCCAAGCCAAGATGAGAGTGCAGTCAGCCATGATGCACATGCGAGCCAGCTCTTTTAACGCATGATGAGGATCTTTCTGTAGTTGAACAGATGTTAGGGTTAAAACAAAATACAACAACAATTCATTCTTAAAGACTTCATGAAGTCACATTAGGGCTTTAGATTTGCTACAAATTGAGATGTTGTAACATTTTTTCATTTTGACCCAAATCTGAGTCTTCTTACACAGTATCTATTATTTGGCAGCTCTGAGATCTTTATTTTCCTACACACAGTGCCAAAAATAGTCTCCAGCTGCACCTCTTCACACTTCATTTACACCACTGTTAGCGAAACTAATTCAGCTGAGGCAAGATATACTTCACAAATGAGTAGATCTGCATTGATCACTTACATTAAGCTGCTAAAGGAGAGCTGTAATGTCCTGAAAAGATTGTTGTCTTGTTAATATATAAAACTTTTGGATGTTTACATTTTTGTCAGCAATTCATAAGGCCAGCTGACGTTACCGACCTGACAGCTGTTATCGTTAGATAATCCACAGTTTCATAGAGGTAATTTGTTTCCCTGTTTCTGTTGTTCACTCGCTTAAAAGCCTCAAATTTTGTTTCTAGTATTACCCAGATGTCCCAAAGCGGCCCTGGAGACACGAACACTTGCAGAACTATCACAAATTTACTTTTGAGTTCTGTGGCAGATGTTTACACAGTATTTAACAAAGGTGAGTATAATCCTTTGAAACAGTGTTTAAATGATAAATGATGTAAATTATATCACCTTATGGCACTTGCATTCTCCTGAGCTGACATTTAGAGTAGTGATTCTTATGAAAAGTAACACTCTTTGCTGGACTTTCTCAATTTTGGACCTGTGGGTTTTGTCTGATCTGTATGTCTGCCTCATGGTTCCACATAGAAAAGAACTGTCAGAGGAACTGAATAATCTCAACACGAAGCTCCACAAAGATGGAAAAAACATAAAGAAAGATTGATTTCCACCTAAAAATCAGAGGAAGCACAGCTGCTGCAGCAGTAATCAGGAGGTACAAAATGAGCCATATTGCCACTCATCAGAGCTGCAGTGGCTGTCCTCCTAAAATGGTGCCACCAACAGTGCACTGCTTGCACAATCCAGCTCTGAGAAACAGTTGGGTAAGTGCTTAAGACTTGGCACAGGGGTTATAAATGGAAATCAGAGTTTTTGTGACAGCTGTGAAGGACAATGCATAACATTAAGCTCAGTGGATGGCGTCCAAGTAAAAGAACTTGCTTGTTCTTCAGTACAAAACTGTAATATTAAACTTAGAGGAGAAAAAAAGGACATGGAAAAAAAAACCCCCAAAACAAACCGATGAATATTGGGAGCACGTTCTTTGGGCAGTTGAGAACAATATAAATATGTTCAGTTCAAATGGGATCAAACATGTTTGATGAGGTGTGGATACATTGGTGCAAAAGGTGCTGGGGAGATGACCTTTATAGTTTGCACTATGAATGTACCAAAATACTGTCTGACACCATGACTCCTAATCTCCAGAAGCCGGCAGAAGAGGGATATTCCAGCATAATAATGATCCAAGGCACACTGCCCACATCACAATAGAGTTTCTAAAGTAGAGGGAAAAACACTATGACCTGCCCTTTTCAGGTCAGACCAAGTATGCTGCCTGACTTGAATCCAACTGAACCAGTTTAAAGAGAAAGGATAGAGCAATACAAACCATCCACCTAATAAGAAAAAGAAAAAGTATACTCCATGAGGAGGAGGACTGAGTCTGTCGTGAAAAATAAAGATGGACACAAAGTATTAAAGTATAAAAAGATCTAAAATGCAGTAGCTGCACTGATTCTGCTTTTATTATAGTCGATCTAAACAGGATCTAAAATGAGTTACTTTAAGAGCAAATTCTGTTCAGCATAGATGTAATCTAGTTACAAGAAAACGACACAATTTTAAAACCAAGTGATACTGCACAGGTGTGTACCCACGTCTGCTGTCTGTGTGCAAATCTTCTGAATGTAATACCACACAGCTGTGCAAAATGCAGTCATTATATTTCACAGATGTGTAGTGCACAACAAAAGAAAATGAAGCATGAGCGCAAATTAATTTGCATCACCACTGTTTTGATCCTGTCACAAGACGGCTTCTGGTTGCTTGGAGGAAGTGTAAAAGATTTAGATGAAAACAAAGAGAATAAGAAGATGGTATCAGTCTTGAAATCCTGTAGCAGGAAACTTTGTACAGCCTCCTCCTTTCCTGATATGTACAAACTGAAGCTATTCAGATATAGATTTCACAAGAGTAATGTTCAACAGCTTCTGAGGTACTGAATGATTAAAAAAAGATGCAGGAGCTGCATTTGAAATAGAAAGAAAGTGCCTTAATGCATTATTTATGTGACTACAGTTTCAAATCACTTTGACGCATTTCTCACATCAGGAACACCATTCTCACCGCTCTTCTCAAATTAATAACACGCTTCCCCACCAACCTTAGCATTTCCCATTGCGTCTGTACAAACTGCTGTTGTTTCTGCACATACACTCCTTTTTAAGAATCTGAACACTTAACATTAGGCTCACGTTTTTGCAGTCAGTAAGGTTTTGATAAAAGTAGAACAATAAACACATTAAGACAATTGAGAAAAACTCTAAACTGGACTGTATATTATAAGCATGTGCTATTTTTACTTTATCAGAGGAAATGACACCTTAGAATAGCTGCTGCAGCCATTCAAAGATCTTAATTTGATTAGATTTGACAAT